GAACAATGGTCAACAATTAGCAATAACATTAAATATTTCAGTTGTGAAAATTAGAACGACACAAGTAAACGAACAATATTGTTTCCAGTTAGATAATAATCAATTTTTACTCCAATATACATGAATATTTATATGGGTCTATGAAAGAGTTAAACCGATTAAGACAAATTATGAGTGAATTAATACAATAATTAGACGATATCACAGGTAAAATGTACAAATTGATGGTAAAAACATAGGTTTACTAGTAGTGATATGAATAACGAAATAACAGAAGCTCTAGTCAGTTGGTCAACACAGGGATTAGGTCAAACTTGATTAAATAGGATTTAAAATAATTGTCATAAACATCATTAAAATTAAGTGATGAGAAGTGTGTAAGTAATTAGATAATGAAGAATGAGCAGTGGGAAGATGTGAAAAGCAACAAATAAATACAATGTATAAAAAAATTTATAAAATCATTTATTGAGTTTTATTCAGCGAAGAAAGGGACAGGGTTGTCATGGGTTACTTCCGAACACATTAACCAGAGTTATATGTTCAGATCCCTATAACCTACGCTATTTGTAGGAAACGCGACCGAAACCCACTGTGAAATGATAAGGGTATATGATCAATCACTCAAAATGTTTTGGTTTTATCTGTTCTATGGTCACTGCCAACCAGGTTACCAAGATGGCCGAATGTATTGTTTCAGCCTTGCCATTTCTAACCAAGCAGTAAGATGCTCATTCATTCGTTAATTCAGTTGCCTGATAGTAAACCCAATATAGTTATCTCTGCAGGCGCAACTAGATTTGTAGATGCACATGGCAGAAGTGAACACATGTGACTTATTCCCTCTCTGAGTAGATATCAGTGATCTGTTAGAACATTTCAATGTAAGATCAGCTACATAAAATGTCCTATTGACTGGCATTTATTCTATCGTACAGGACATCTCTGGTCACATTTCCGTCGTGGTGTAGTCATAGGAATAGGAGTTCCTTACGAGCGGTCAATATCTCCAACTTATTTTTCAACACATTCGTGTACTTCTTTGAAAGGTTTTTGGGGAAACCTATTCCCGCCTGTATATTATTAAAAAACTCCAACTACTTCTTTATGAAGTTCTGTGAACAGATATTTTTTAGCTCTGCTTGTAAGACATCTGACCAGATTTATTTTGTAACAGGTGGTTGTGAAACTATAGAAGTGTATGTGGTGATAAACGAGATACTCATATACACCATTCCGCTTACTGAGCCTTTATCTTGTCAACTTAATAATTCCTGATTTTCCTGAAATTTTACTAGTTTTGTCTTTATCAATAACACGAACGTGAAACTACAATATTCTGATAATGGAAAATAGGAGTTGACAGAGTAATGTTTTGAAACCTTTACCCGAGACAAGCCATTTCAGATATTAGCGAAAGAAATTCAGGTATGTGCCAAAATCGTATTCCATCCCTTATTTTACAACATTCTACAACTTAAGCTGATTCCAACCTATGATGAAAACGCCAGTTCCTTTTGCTAATCATAGGTGTGTCTAAATTCACATTGAACACGTAAAGAAACCGACTACAACATTGAGTGTTTGCTGTCTTAGTCCTGACTCATAACGATTTAGCGGTAATGCTAAGTTACAACATTAAAATTATGGCTTGCTGGCGTACTTTTGCAGCCAGTTAGTTCGGAACCCTATGGATATTAATAACTTGACCAAGTTATGTCCGTCACCATACACCCAACCTTAGTGCAGTTCGAACTTAAAAACTGAGTTCATGTTGAAATTGCCCGTATAAAAGGCGGCTTAGATATCTTAGAAAAAGGACGGAGAACAGTTACCTGTGCAATTACATAATTCCGTTTGTAACGGCAAATAAATCCCCAAAATAAATAGTTCTTTAGGTCCTCTATATTGGTGCTGACCTCATTGGTTTTACTAGACATATCGAGCTTACGGCGCCCGATCACGTATTCGCACCATACAACAAGTGGGTAGACCGTGTTACACATCCCTTGCGACTGTTAGCTAGCCAAGAATAAACGCTTCCCAGTAGCCTTTCAAATCTATCTTTGAACCACACTCCGACCCTGTGTGAAAAAGTAATGGTACAGAAGAGGTTCTGGACAGTTTTAATAGCATTCGACCAGCTATTAATTTCATGGAAGAGGAGGAAAATTATAGCAGTATAACTTACATTGAATTTCAACGACACATACAAACTGTTTATTTGAAACAATTTTAAAGAGACATGGACAGTGAAATTTCGATAGATCAGCTTAAAAGATATATTAAAAGGACATTTAACGCCGCCGAATTAAATGCGATTTTCTCAGATAAGTCAATACTTACACAATGAATCAAGGGTAGATTACCGATGGTGGGATACTCCGTGTCTACACAAATTTAACTGCTCCTGTGAGGCTAGTAGACATATCTTCAGAACCTAACTAAGCTTACCAACAGACGTTCGCTAAGTCACAGTGCCCCAACTACTGACGAAGCCGATGGGATAGAGTTTATGGAAAGACGAAATTTGAAGAAGCTCACATAAACACCTAAGTCTCTCAAAACCAATGACCTGAACAAAAATACGTTAAGGATCGTAAAAGTCAAGTTGGATATTGAATCAGTGTGTTAAATTAATATTTATTCCCTCAGTAGGTACTTTAATCATAAGACATTGGAAGTTATCACTACTGTTTAACATGTAACATGAGGGGCCACCGGAGCTCCAGCTTCTACTATAAATTTACAAACTTCACCACTCAACTGAGGTAAATAAGGACTGTAATCTTTACAAAAATAAGGAAACAAATAACTAGCTTCCATCTACAGTACTTTTGTCCTAAAAGCATATTTTTGACTGACTATAAGTTGCTTAATTTGTTTAGCCTGTGTAGTGTTTTATAGCAATATTGTTTTATACGGGATAGGGTTGCCGACTTTACACCCAACCCTCTTTCTTCGCCCATGCTCGGGACCGGCAGTACCTCTAGAAGAGCTACAAGCGGAATACAATGGACAACTCGGAAAAGTTAAAAGATTTTGACTTCACAAATGACCTGGCTCTTCTATTCCATACACATTAACGAACGAAGATGAAGATGAATTGTAGTAGCAGCCTCTGCATCAACAGGCCTCAACATACTTGAGGGAAAATCAAGATCTTCAAATACAATAACGAAAGCACTAACTCAATCATACTTCATAGAGAAACTATGGAAGAGGTGGGAAGTTTCACTTATCTGGATAGCATCATCGATAAACGAGGAGGATCTGATGCAGACGTAAAGGCAAGGATTAGAAAAGTAAGGGTAGCATTTGTACAACTGGAGAACATATGGGACTCAAAACAACTGTCTGCAAGACAATAGCAATATCATACTCTTCAATACGAATGTCAAGACAGTTCTACTGTACAGAACTGAAACTTTCAGAACTATGACAACCATCGTGAAAGAGGTACAAGTATTTATTTACAATTGCCTACGTAAAATACTGAATGTCCATCGACCGGATAGCATCAGTAATAACCCACTGTGTGAGAGAACAAACCAGCTTCGAGAAGAGACAATTAGGAAAAGACGTTGGAAGTGGATAAGACATACATTACGGATATAATCAAAATCCGTCACAAGACAAGTGATAACTCGGAGTCCTGAAGGGAAATGTAAAAGAGGAAGGTCGAAGATCACACTGCGTTGGGAATCGGAAGTCGACATGAAAAAGATGAACAACAAGTGGAAAGAACTGGAAAGGATAGCCCAAGACAGTGTTGGATGAAGAACTTTGATGACCGGTCTATGCTGCTCCATGAGGGGTGACAGGCGTAAGTCATAGTTACTTGCCTTTGTCAACCACAGATGCACTGAAAAATACAGTGACCAAAAAGATGCTGTGGTTGGTTTAGATATGGTTTATTCCACTATCTTGAGGAGTCTCATTGGTGGAGATACTCCTTTTAACATTGCAATCGTTTCTAAGCATTGTTCGCATCACTTATTAAAGCTTACTCCTGACATCGACGTTGGAGATAATACATCCAAACGGGAAGTTTGATAAGGTTGTTTTTTGAACAAAAGTGTGTTAATCAGGCAGAATCAGACTACACTGGTCACAAAATCATTCAACTGCTGTACCCAAAAGACAAACGAGAGATCAAACGATCATCAGTGATAGGAATGATGTATTTCGTCGTAGAAAGAGTTAGACAAAAGCTAGTTCGCTATAGTGGCTATCTAAAGGGCTTTAGGAAAGTCACATCAACTAAACTAACTGAATCAATCCAGCTGATTATATGTGTTAAGACTAACTGGGTCATTATGGTCACTGTTATTTTAATATGTAGCATGTATTTACCACGAAATGTAACTCCTCAAGAATGGTTCGGTTTTGGAATTACCCCGAGTCTTTTAGGGAAAAACGCGATACAATTTAGGGACTCAATATGATACAAACCACTGTAACTCATTCGAGATCTTATTCTACTAACTTCTGGTTTAGACTGTTAAACTGTCCAAATCTTACGCCTGTGATATTTTCAATATGTATTGGCTGTTTTCATTATTAAATATAAGTAACTCTATGGGGTCACTGAGTCAGTTCATTTTTTACTTTCCCGTTTTTTGTCCAGTTTTCCTCACACACTATCCCAAAACACAATGTACCTTCAAACCTGACATGAAATACTACTTGTTCGCACTTCATCTGAAGATCTACTTTGAGGGTGATTTCGGTCATATATAATCAAGTTGTGAATCATTATACGAAAGTGTTTTTTAAAATTTGACTTGTTTTCTTATATCTTATTCTCTACTTAGAAAAATTGGCAATCCACTTCTAACCGACAAGAAATTCAGCAGATCAAATGATTCTCCCATTCCTTTCATAAACATTTGAAACTGAGAATGAAAATTGAAACATTGTTAGTTTATTTTCTGTTGCAGTTCTTTTGAGTTAAATTATCCGGCGGCTAGTCAAGTGGTCTGTTTAGAAGGTTTCAGATGGAGGACAGTTCTCCGGCTCTTAATGTAGTACGTTTAGTTTGGTTGTCATTCAGTTTATGCTAGAATATAACTTCATCGGTTGAGGAGGAGCTTGAAAGCAAAATCAAGGCAAAATATCCAGGTCTCAACAAACAAGGTGTTGGCTCCCTGTTATTGCAAAAGCGATTGAATCGTGGGGTAAGCAACTTGTTTATTTTGTTATTTTTTAACAGTTTACTATGTAAGTAGCTGTTTAGGATATTGGAAACTCCTCAAAATTAGTATGTGGGACCAGTCATATACTATAGATGTCATGTTTGGATTGTTTCATATCAACAACTTATACAGTGGATAATTATCAGGACTTAGAACCAACATTTTGTCTCCCCCCTTTAGTATCTGGTCTTTGTAAGGCACCATGTTTGCTAACTGATAATTGATGAGTTAGTCCAAACAATGAATTGACTAGAGGTAAGTTTCTCGCTACTCCAAATAGTTTATTTCTCTAGACTTAGTTTTCCATGAGCGTCTATCTAACACTCAGTTGCATCCTATCCATGCCTAAAATAACAAACCATCCCACCAGATCTCTTTAAGTACCTTATTCTTGCTAAGCATGGGAATTTTAGTACCAAGATATCAGAGAGACTAAAATGTATTGACGAACCATGAGATTTAAGATATGTCTTGGGTTTTAGCATGAAGTTCATCCACTCATTTGGCTAAATACTATTTTGACATTATAGCTGATGTCAGTTCGTAATGAAAACCTTAAATCTAGTTCCTAACCATCATTAGTGCGACACCAACGCCAGCAAGACCAGACGAAGATGCCACAGGGTCCCCGGATAAGCGCACATAAACAAGCTTTTCTAAGCGACAGATGGAGAGCGAATTTGTAGTACTACACCAGAGTCTTGAATACGGGTCTCGGATAGACAGCAAACATCGATATTAAGACTTTCTAAAGACATAGCCAGCCCTATCTGTTGTCCGATCTGCATAAGTGTGCGAACGTTGAAGGCAGCCAGTTTCAATGGAGTATTTGGTTTCAAAAAGACTTTCAGTATTCGTATTCGGTGGAGACATTCAACTTTCGACCAGGCAGACTTGAGATCGTTTAGACAGAGTCGAATTTCCACCATAGGCGAGCAACTGTATAAGTTATAAAATAAGGATACACAAAATGAGAATAGTAGTAGATAAGTGACGTCGTACATAAAAAATAGAAATGAATGTTATCACATGGATGTGAGTTGTCTGAATTTTAAATAGAGCAAGAATAGTATTCTCAGTAATTATTGTCATCTTATCAAATTTGTGTGTGGGCTGTGATACTGCCCGGGTGCCTTGACCGAAGCAGGTGGTTATCTTGACGGGCCACACCACGAGCCTTTGACCTAAAGGTCTAACCCACAAGGCAATGGAGCATCGTTAGGAGATGCACCCCATGGTAGCCGGTGACCGAAAATTGGTTCATGCGCCATTTGTTCCCACAGGATACTGGAGCCCATTTGCAGCTTGACGCAATAGGCTGACCGCCTTAATCTTGAGGCTGGTATGCGTGTATTCGAAGTTAGTCTAACTTGTTGGGGTAGAGAGACGAAAACTATTCTATGGCCTGACTGGCTGCTAAGCACACGACTGAGAAAAGAAGTCAACTGGAAAACCACTTGATTTATTCCCAATTCCAATCTCGTTACAGATTTCAGATCAGTGTAAAAAGATGCATGAATATATAGATGACTAACCAGATTACAACGCACAACATTTAGAAAAATACAATTATGTCCAAAACTAGAGATTAGCGTAGAAAAATAGAGTACAAAATTACAATAGCTTTGCATTAAAAAGGGCTATGACAGTGAATCATACATCAAACGAAAGCTTATGATCTGTATAATAGACAAAAATAAATGTTACTGTTCTTTCAAACTTTAAATTAAAGTTAAATAACGTCCCCGAAAAATAGCTTCCGTAGTTCGTCAAGGCTTCTTGTTTCTCTGTTCATATCAGGTGGCTACCCAACATATGCAGGTAACTTGGTGTAGGCGTTTAGCTCTACTCACCAATGGGTTTCAGTTTAAAGCTCTCCATGTGTCTTATTTCTTCCAGTCCCAAAGTTCAACACACGAGCCTATACTTAGTTGTTGCGTTCCATCAAATAACTTAAAAGTAATTCATTTGTGACATTTTGCTTCTGTGAAATTTTATGAACCGTTCCCCTGGGGTCTGTTTGCAGCATCTGTTTTTTCCAGTAGTATCGGTAATGAATAATGATATAAATATCATTGTTTTATTAATGCAATGACGTTATAACTAGTTTGCGTTTTTGTTTTTGTTTAAATAATATTTTATACAGCATAAATACTTTGATTCTGGAGACTATAATATGGCAAGAGCAAAGATTTTGCAACAGCAAAAGCATGTACTCCCTCCTCAAACAGAAGAAGCTATTCTTCATGAATCGACGGGGGAAACTATGGCTACTCCTGACAGTGTACCTGCAGTTCGTAAAAAATCCATTCTATCTCCAAATGGTGTAGAGTCTGTGGTTAATCCTGTCGCTGTTTCCGCTGCATCGAAGGCTTCATTATCGCATCCAACCGACAGTTTCAGTCTCTTGTCAACATAATTACAGTTCAGTGAAAAATGAACAAAAAGAGACACATCAATTCTGTACGGAAAAACAACAGAATCTGTCATATACGCATATAATCACATGAATAGGAGATTGACATAATAATAGTGATAAGATCTAAACTGGTCTAGAGAAAAAAACAAGGAAAAGCACAGAATACACAGTTATCAATAGTTTTTTTTGATTTTAGGGATTTGTGCTGCTAACCAGATACAAATGCATTGGGTAATTCTTTGTGCAAATAAATAAAACATAGATAGTGGTTTACAATTAAGAGAAGGCAGAGATAGAGTAGATAGGTCTTTACAAATTCATAAAGTTAATTGAGTAACGGAAAAGAAGAGGACATGAGAAGAAGAATAGACAAGGACGAAAGTAAACGACGACCCACTATTCTCAAACAACCACCTGTTCAAAAAGAACAGTCTTTTACTTTATGACATATGTGTTACCTTTGTGTACTGTCATGTTCAAAAAGATCAGTCCTTTATTTCATGACAGTACACAAAGGTAACACATATGTCATAAAGTAAAAGACTGTTCTTTTTGAACAGGTGGTTGTTTGAGAATAGTGGGTCGTCGTTTACTTTCGTCCTTGTCTATTCTTCTTCTCATGTCCTCTTCTTTTCCGTTACTCAATTAACTTTATGAATTTGTAAAGACCTATCTACTCTATCTCTGCCTTCTCTTAATTGTAAACCACTATCTATGTTTTATTTATTTGCACAAAGAATTACCCAATGCATTTGTATCTGGTTAGCAGCACAAATCCCTAAAATCAAAAAAAACTATTGATAACTGTGTATTCTGTGCTTTTCCTTGTTTTTTTCTCTAGACCAGTTTAGATCTTATCACTATTATTATGTCAATCTCCTATTCATGTGATTATATGCGTATATGACAGATTCTGTTGTTTTTCCGTACAGAATTGATGTGTCTCTTTTTGTAACTTTAAATATGTAGGCGTTAGTACGTTCACGTGTTCGCTTATGACTGATATGTGACCTGGCTGATATCTTTTCACAATGAATATATATTTGTAATAATTTACTGCAATCTCAGCTTTGTCAACTCATGTTTTCAATCACTTTTTTATGCGCATGTTTTGCGTAAAGCAGTTCACTGATGAATCTAAGTGTACTCGTTTCCACCTTTTCTACTGTGCAACATATTTAGGCTTTTCTATGACTCTAAGTATACAGATACAGTAGCATATGTGATATATTAGGTAACCATCTAATGAGTAACGGCAAGGTTAGGTGATGACGTGATTAAATTTGGTTAAGTTTTGAACTATTATTGGCTGGATCAGATCGGACTCAAGTTATTCAAACCAACTCGTCCCTCATTGTTCCTCATCGGCTGGACTAAAAATAATATCATGTAAGCCTTGTGATGGCTACATCGGATTATACCGGTGGTCCGTGAAATAGTTGTTTTTTTAATCTGAATCGTATGAGTTAGTGTTGACAGTTCCTAACATAGTAGGAACTGCCAGCCAAAAAACTTTGACGATATGGTTTTCGGTCGATGATATTGCCTGGGATATCTTTTCCTACTCTAACAGCAATTATGCTTTTATTACTTCAAAGGTTTCTCTACCCTTAATCATTCTTATTACTTCTATGAAATTACGCGTGCGAATCCCCAGTTGTAATTTTAAGTTCAAATGAACAGAGTCAGCTACAACGTAGGACCAGGCACATATATGCATCGGTCGAAGTTGCCACACCTCATCAACAAAACAAGATAAAGTAGTTTCTTCAATGGTAGTAGTATATAAAAAAAAGATTGTGTATAAATATACATAATATAGGAAGAAAGAATTAGTTGGTAGAATAAAAGATACGAAGCGATATTAATCTCAGTTTAAGGGAAGATAAAGGGTGTACCACTAAGCGGTTGTGAGCCATGTCACTCAGAGTCTCCAACCATTGGCTATGAGTCACGCGGACCCCAACCAAGTAGTCTGCATCTACCAACACGGCTCAGACTAGAAGTTGGTGACTTTGTGGACTAGTGTCACGTTTTGGTTTGGCCTCCCCTAACTTCCGACCATTCCCAACACTAGTCAGCATTGCACGTCGTGGTAATCGGTGTTCAGGCATACGTAACACGCGGCCCAACCATCTCAGTCGATGACGATTCACAACCTCGTCAACTGGTTTACCATTCCCTAATACTCTGCGCCTAACCTCACTATTACTTACCCCGTGATCCCGGCAGATGGCAATATTTCTGTGACATTTGTGATCAGGTAATAGTAACTTGCGAGTATCGTCTACCCTTAATAACCACGTTTCGTAGCCGTAAAGTAGAACAGAACGGACTGCCGCGCCGTATACTCGTCTTTTTATTGATAGATGGATATCTCGTCTTTACTATGGGTGACGTAAGTCGGCAAAAGCCAAGCGAGCTTTTTGAATCTGTGCTGAGATTTCGTCAGACACCAAACCATTAGGGCTGATCAGACTCCTAAGATATGTGGAGTTGTCTACACGTTCGACTACTTCACTCCCTATCCCTAGTTCAGGTGTTGACGCAGACCAGTCCTGAAGCAATAACTTACATTTAGAGTAGGAGAAGCGCATTCCAAACATTCTGGCATTGTTGCTCAGTGCTACCAAAAGACTCTGTATTTTATCAGCGTCTTCACCAAACAGGACTATATCATCTGCGTATTCTAAGCCAATAAGTGGACCTCCATGATGAAATTAAATAGAAATGGAGATAGTAGATAGCCTTGCCGTCACATGATGGAAGGTAATTTCTGAATGATTAAGACTATGTTTGGGAAAGCTAACCATCCTGTATTCGAGTTAAAGTGACTATTTCAGTGGTTAAGTTAGTTTTTCCAAGTATAATTTTAGTGTAGCTACATCAAATAGTCTTTTCAACTTCGAAAATTACTTGAGTTACGGGCTAGTATACAGCAAAACATAGTTGAAATCTAGAAAACAGTTTTACCTATGGTTTAAGACTCTTCACTTCTGCATAACCCTAAATACTTATCATCATAGATCGTCGAGAATAGTTCCTGGTTGTTTAGCTATTCAATTCTAGATCGAAGATATCAATTAATCACAACCGGCGTATAAAGCCTGGGACAAATATGTATCACCCCCATTTTCCCATCTCAACACCCTAGCATGAAATTAGCAAGATGAGTAACAAAGAAGCCAAAATATCAGTAATATCAGCATTTGTAAGAAACAAAGTAATTCAGAAAGTATTTATGAAATAACATTAAAACCTGAGATATGGGATGAATTGGTCCGTGCAGGTGACTGATTCTAATCCATGTCACCCAACACCAACTACTGATCTCATAGGCCTCAACCAGTTAGTTTACACTTATCAGCATAATTCAGTTTTTATCCCGTATATTATCTATTGATTCCAGTATTTGTGAACTTTTCAATTAACATCCGTCATTTACTGTACACATTCTTCAAGAAATAACCTTATCACAGACCAACAAAAACTAAGATGTTTGAGTAATACTGTGACGCATTAGTCACTAAAAGTTATGTAATACTAAAAAGCCAGTTTAGTAAGTAAATAATTCTTAAGTGCAAGAGTAAGGAGTTATGAAGAAACCGGTTAAGGAAACAAGTAGCGAAGTTGCTCCCTAATTGTTTCTATCTTATGAAAAAAAGTTCTGAATATAAATAGGAAAGCCGAGTTCCTGTTTGGCGCAGTCAAAATAAATTTATATTCAGAACTTTTTTCATAAAATAGAAACAATTAGGGAGCATCATGAGGCAAGCCCTAACTTGGAATTCTGAAGGGAAGCGAAAAAGAAGAAGGCCAAAGAACGCATTACGTCGGAAAATAGAAGCAGATATGAAAAAGATGAATAACAACTGGAAGGAGCGAGAGAGGGTTGCCCAGGACAGGGTTGGATGGAGAATGCTGGTGAGCGGCTTATGCTCTTCCACGAGGAGTAACAGGCGTAAGTAAGCGCCAAATAGGATTACTGACTCGAAACTTCATGTCCAAAAGATAAGTCGGTGCTCTATTGTCTAATGACTTGGATTGGAGATGGTAAATAGGTTTCCAAAATCCCTTCATCTTATTCAATGGATTGTTAATGTTGGTTTTAAATATGACTAAATGGAAATGCTAATTGAATTCATTTGATTAGATTTGACAGAGTAAATTATTTAAACTGTAAATAAACTTCAACTACATTTGATTGATCACAGGGTGGTGATCAATGTCATGTGCGTCAAGTCCTTCTTAGTGCAGATCGACTGCTATCGACCAAGTTGCAATATGGCCACTAGTCTAGGTGACTTAACATTGTGTGCACTATGTTAAGATAAGATGGTGGTTGGAGGTAGTCAACATGGATCGAATCCGTCAGGGAGCACCGGTTCCCTTAAGATTACAGGTACACCTTGCTGACGAGTTCCAAGTAGCACGAAACCCGGACCCAGGGTTTACTATTAACTACCTCCAACCACCATCTTGTCTAAACTTCAACTACATTCCTATGATATAATCCAAGTGAAACTTTCTGGCTCTACCTATATATCTCTTATTAGGTTTTTATTTTATTAAATGTGGCTACAAAGCTAGAGGAATGCATATATATATATATATATATATATATATATATATATTTACACACAGACAAATACTTTCTTTACACACACCTCTATAGATCGACCTATTCGCATTCTTTATTAACAAACATATATACAGGGTGTTCATAGTTAAATTAACTTAGTACTTATCCCTTTCCTAATACTGTAATCAATAAATATACATATATCCGTTGATGTATGTTTAACTTTTCGATAATCTTTTTTTCCAAATCTATTTATTAATTTAAAGTCAAGTAACATACATCCCAAATGTAAGCTGACAATACAATTTCATCATTTTACATTTAATATTTTATTTCAATAGTTGAGATCATGAGTCAATTGAAGCTAGATTATCATGGAAAACCTGAAAACACTGGACGGCTATTTCGTCTTATTGTG